TCACATTAGGAAAAGCAATATAAGGATTATATATATAATATTCCATTGTGGGATATTATTTAGCCATAAAAAAATGGAAATATTGCCATTAGGAATGATTTTGAGGCCCAAGGATGGACCTGGAGGGCATTATGGTAAGTTAAATAATTCAGAAAGAGAAAGACATATACTTTACGATCACACTTATATGTAGTCTTTAAAAACAACAACAACAAAAACCCTAAACTCACAGATAGAACAGATTGGTGGTTGCCAAAGGCTAGGGCTAGGGAGTGGGAAAAATGGATGAAGGTGGCCAAACTTACAGACTTTCAGTTATAAAATAAATAAGTCCTGAGGATAACATATAGCATGGTGACTATACTTAATAATACTGTACTGTATGTATGAAATTTGCTAAGAGAGTAAATTTTAAAAGATCTCATCATAAGAATAGAAAATATGTAATTATACGTGGTGATAGATAACTAGAATTATTGTGGTGATCATTTCACAATATATACAAATATCAAATCATTGTGTTATATACCTGAAAGTAATATAATGTTATATGTCAATTAAATCTCAATTGAAAAATAAGATTTGAGTATCAACCTTCAATCCAGACATAATGTTCAGAAACTTAAAAAGTAGGGAGTATAGTTAGAATTCAATTTCAGGTGTGTGAACATAGGTATATGATAAAGCCTAAACAAATCTTGAGTACTCCAACTGAGAAACCATAACAAATTACCGCAAACTTAGATGCTTAAAACAGCACAAATTTATTACCTCATAGTTCTGTAGGTCAAAAATCCAGCTACTATATGCCTTAGTTCGTCCCTTGATTTAATGTATCAAAAGACTGAAATCAAAGTGTCAGCAGGACTGTTTCTTTCTCAAGATTCTAGGGGAGAATCACTTTCTGGGCTTATTTAATTGTTGGCAGAATTCAGTTCCATGAGATATAGGATGTAACTGTCAGCCAAAGGTCATTCTTAGCTTCTAGAGGCTGCCTGTATTCCCTAGTTTGTGACCATTTTCAGACAGCAACGGTAGATTGAGTCCTTCATGCTTTGAAGCTCTCTGATTCTGCTCCTTCTTGCTTCATCTCTTCTGCTGCATCTCTTTTTTATTCTAGCTGGAGAAATGTGTCTGCTTTTAAGGGCACAAGTGATTAGATTTGGCTAACCCAGATAATCAGGGATAATCTCCCTATATTAAAGTCCATAGTCTTAAATACATTTGCAAAGTCCATTTTCTGTGTAACATGACATATTCACAGGATCCAGGGGTTAAGGCATGGACATCTTTGGGGGGCCATTATTTGATTTACCATATCAGTGTATAGTCTAAAATCTTCACCTTATCCTTGGTCTTTATACTTCATGAAGACAGAGGAATAAACAATTGTATCCCTGGAAGACTTCTGATTTTCTTACTGTTGCTGTTATTGGTTTCATCTTGGAGGCTGAGAAATAAGCAGATACCAAATATCACCACAAAATGTCAGAGCTGGAAGGAATGTTATCAATCATCTGGTCCCGCCCTCTTATTTTACAGATGAGGAAATTAACGTCCAGAGACAAGAAGATGCTTTGACTAGTTAATGGTAGAGGTGAACATTTATTCCGGATCTCCAAATCTTTGCCAATATGTGGTTTCATTAATTACATGACTGAGCATTTACCTACCCTTTCTTTTTTTTTTTTTTAAAGATTTTATTTTTTTCCTTTTTCTCCCCAAAGCTCCCCGGTACATAGTTGTATATTCTTCGTTGTGGGCCCTCCTAGTTGTGGCATGTGGGATGCCGCCTCAACGTGGTTTGATGAGCAGTACTATGTCCGCGCCCAGGACTCGAACCAACGAAACACTGGGTCACCTGCAGTCGAGCGCACAAACTTAACCACTCGGCGACCGGGCCAGCCCCTTACCTACCCTTTCCAAGCTTCAGTTTGTTCATCTGAAAAATGGGAATAATAATGATACTTCTCAAAAGTGTTGTAAGAATTAAAGGAAATTAATGTACGTAAAGTATGTAGAAGTACAGTAACTATACCTGGCACCTGGTAAGTTCAGAAAATGTTAGCTATTATTATTGCTATCGTTGTTACTATTATATTATTATTCTACAAGTCAAGGCTGCATCCACATATAGGCACCTTCTTTTGAAGGAGGGAATTGACAGGATTTGCTGAAGAATTAGATATGGTCAAGGGATGAGGAAAACAAAGGCCCAAAGATGACTTTCAGGATTCTGACTGTGAGTTAGAGAATATTGTGAGAAGGAAGTTTAGAGGCCTTAGGTCTAATTTTATCAAACACTTGTAGGGTTATTTGAAGGCTCATATGATATTTGGCTTTTTAAATTTCCAATTTCATAGGAAATCTTATTGTATAAAAAAACACGATAATAAAATCTACCTGCTTTTCTCAAAGGATTCTTGTGAAAATCTATTCAGAAGATGTAGTTGTAAAAAAAATGCAGATACAACTGTAAAGATGAACCATAAGTGTTTGTTTTATGAGACAGAAATGTGTGAATTTAATTTCAAGCCAGTTGCTTAAAATTGGAGCTGGTAGAGATGATGGAGTTAAAAAATTAGAGAAGCCAAGTCAACAAGTAGAAAACAGTATTCTTAGCACAAATAGTGAATCATTTGAGTCAATCCAGAAAAATATGGAGGGGAAATAACATCTTTAAAGGGAAACTTGAAATGGGGACAGTGGCATAATGGAGAGACTTACTATGTGTTGTAGGTTAACTGTGTTCACTGTTCTGTTATTCACCACTTAATTTAATCTTAACAAAACCTCTGTAATCCAGACATTATTCTATTTTAAATGTGAATGAACTGAGATTTATAGAAGCTAAGTAAATTGCTCAAGGTCGAGGTTAACAAGTGACAAAGCCATGATTTCAATTCAAGTTTTCGAAGTCCCAAATTCAATTGCTTACACCAGGGATTGGCAAACTTTTTCTGTCATGGGACTGAAAATAAAAAGTTTAGGCTTTGTGGGCCATATAGTCTCTTTCTCAACTACTCAATTCTGCTGTTGTAGCTGGAAAGCAGCCATGGAAGATTCATCAATGAGTGGGTGTGGCTGTATGGCAATAAAACTTTATTTGTGAAAATAAGTTATTTTGATTTGGCTGCTGACCAGTGGCTTAAAATAAGGAAAAGAGACAGCTTAACAGTTGCTACAGAAAATGGCAACATCAAGACACACAAAACTTCATTTAAAAACAATCCGCTAAGGAAATAACCTCAGATGCAAGTTAAGGAATTCTCATGTTTCTTAGAACCTGTGATTGTTATGTCACAGCCTAGCATACATTTGTTGTTCATGACAAAGCAGAATGGAAAGACACTAATTAACATTCTAAAATAATCCGGAAATATCATCCCACCCAACAGTTCCAAATTTGTCTTTCTCCCAACCTTTTCCTGGAGCTACTGACTAGGAAACCAAACAGTATCAATTTGACTTTTTCCTTTGTATTCCTTTTATCTATTCTCTGAGAGGTAGAACTAGCCATAGGCAGCATGAAAAAGAAAGCAGACAAAGGAGAGATGGTCACAGATTTGGAAGCATATTTGGAGGAAATCACTTCTCAGGCTTCTAGATTGGTGGTCTGTCTAATTATAATCCCAGATAATCAGAAGATTCATACAGCAAGTGAGATGCTCAGTGTATTTGTTTTCTAGTGGTACCAAAACAAATTACAACAAACTTAGTGGTTTAAACACTCGCTTATTATCTCACAGTTCTGTGGGTCAGGAATCCTGGCATAACGTGGCTCAACTGGGTCCTCTGCCTCACAGAAGTACAGGCACCGCACGAGCATGGCTGAAGCTAAAATCAAGGTGTGTCAGCTGGACTAGGTTCTTATCTAGAGACTCTGGGGAAGATTCCACTTCCACATTTATTCAAGTTGTTAGCAAAAGTTAGCTTCTTGCCATTTTAGGACCAACTCTACCTTTTCCTTAACATGCGCCCCCCCTTCATCTTCAGGCCAACAATGACATGTGGAATCCTACTTCTGATTCAAATCTCTGACTTCATCTTCTGCTCTGCTTTTAAGGGCTCATGTGGTTAAATTAGGTCCATCTGACTAATCCAGGATAATCTCTGTACTTCAAAGTCATGTGATTAACAAACTTGTTACATCTGTGAATTCTTTTCTGCCATAAAATGTAACATATTCACATGAGTAACACTAGTGGGAAAAGGACATAGAGGCTACTTCATTCTCGGTAAATTAGAATTTGGTATTTTGACTTCTTCCCAGGGAAAAACGAAGCTGGAGGAAAATATTGGGCTTCTAGTTTAATTCATCAACTGCTGTTTTTCAATGTCCATGCTGAAGACTGAATTTCCTTCCTTCTTTCCTTCTAAAAAAATTTTACATATGGATTAAAGAGAGTAGATGTGGATGAAAGAGAGAGATGAGTTCCTTGCCTAATAAACTTTGTCAACTAGTAGGAGAGCTAAACAAGCTAATAGGTAATAGCAATAGACATGACAAGTCAACAAAGGAGCAAAGGAGCACAGGAGTGAGAGGGAATGCATATCCCAGTCTCAGAGAGTCAAGCTACACACTCTAGAAGAGATGTCATCTAATCCATGAAATAAAGAATGAGTAAAAGTTAGTCAGCTCTCCCAGCATTTGTCACTATATCTCACTGTATTTTTATTTTATTTCTTAATTTTCATTTAGATTGAGAAAGAACTCAAAGAAATGGAAAATCAAACTGTGGTCACTGCATTCATCTTCCTAGGATTTTCCAACCATCTTGAATTACAAGGGCTGGTAATTTCCCTGGTCTTCTGGATCATTTATCTGATAACTCTCCTGGGAAATGCTTTCATATTAACAGTGATCAGAGTCAATCCTGCCCTCCACACTCCAATATATTATTTTCTCCACAACTTCAGTTTCTTGGACATCTGCTACTCATCCACCACTATTCTGGTCACGCTGGTAAAGTTCTTCCAGGAGAAGAAGACTATCTCATATGAGAGACCCATTTCTCAGATCTTCTTTGTCGCTTGTCTTTGTGACTTGTGCTAGCACTGAGGGTGTCTTGTTGTCTGCTGTCACTTATGACTGCTATGTAGCCATTTGCCACCTTCTTCAATACCTGCCCCTTGTGAGTCTTATGGTCTGTGTGTATTTGTTGACTGGAATTTGGCTGTGTGGGCTAGAGAATTCTGTGACACACACAGTGCTGGCAGCCACACTCACTCTATGTGGACCCAACCAAACCAGGCACTTTCTCTGTGACATCCCATTCTTCCTGGAGCTCTCCTGCTCAGATACCTTTCTCAAACAGTCTGTGCTCCATGTGGCCAGTGCTGCCATTGGCCTGAGCCCCTGTCTGTTTACTGTAGTGTCCTACACACTCAACATCTCTGCCATTCTTAGGATTCCCTCTGCTCAGGACAGGAGCAATGCCTTCTCTTCCTGTGCATCCCACCTCTCCATGGTAGTTGTCTTCTTTGGAATGACAAGCTTCAACTATGACAGACCCAGAGAAGGCTACAACCTGGACATGGACATTCTGGTCCCTGTGCTCTTCTGTGTTGTGATCTCCCATGTTTAACTACATAATCTACAGCCTGAGAAACAAGGAAACCCAGGGTGCCCTGAGGAACCTGGCTGGAGAAGGTGGACTGTCTAGAAATATCAGTGAATAGATCAATATTTTCCATTCTGGAGAATTTTTTTTCTTTCTCTCTCTCTTTTTTTTTAACAGTTGATCACATTTATTTGTATGATAGCTCTTTAGTTACTTTATTAAAATACCACTTTTGCTAATTCTTTTTAAACGATTTTAAGTAAATTTTATGTATTTAAAGTGTACACCTGATAATTTGATATACATAGTGAAATGGCTACTGTAGTCAAGCTAATTAACATACCATCTCCTCATATATGTTACCAATTTCTTTGTGATAAGAGCACTTGAAATCTACTCTCTTAGCATATTTCCAGTATTTGGTACTGTATTATTAACTGTAGTCATCATACTGTACATTAGGTCTCCATACATTCATCCTACATAATGACAACTTTATACCCTTTGACCAACATCTCCCATTTTTCCCACTCTCTCTCAGCTCCCAGTAACCACCATTCTACCATTTGTTCTATGAATTCAACTTTTTTAGATTCCACATATAAGTGAGATCATGCAGTATTTATCTTTCTATGACTGTTTTATTTTATTTATGATAATGTCCTCCAGATTCATCCGTGTTGTCACAAATGACAAAATTTCCTTCTTTTTGTGAGACTGAAAATATTCCATTGTACATATATATATGACATTTTCTTTATCTTTTCATTTATTAATGGCCACTTAGGTTGATTCCATATTTTGGCTATTGTGAATAATGTTGCAACAACATAGGCATGCAGATATCTCTCCAAGACTGTTTTCATTTCCTTGGGATATAGACCCAGAAGTGGGATTGCTAGATCATATAATAGTTCTATTTTTACTTTTTTCAGGAACCTCCATACTGTTTTCCATAATGACTGTACTAATTTACATTCCCGCCAACAGTGCACAAGGGTTCCCTTTTCTCCACATCCTCGACAACACTTGTTACCTTTGTCTTTTTGATAATAACCATTCTAATAGGTGTGAGGTGATATCTCATTGTGATTTTGATGTGCATTTCCCTGATGAATAGTGATATTGAGCATCTTTTCATGTTGGCCATTTGTCTTTTTTGAGAAATGTCTATTCAGGTTCTTTGCCTGTTTTTTCATTGATTTTTCTTTTCTTGCTATTGAGTTGCATGAGTTCCTTGTATATTTTGGATATTATCCCCCTGATCAGATGTATGGTTTACAAATATTTTCTTCCATTTTGTAGGTTCTCTCTTCACTATGTCGATTGTTTCCTTTGCTGTGCATAAATGCTTTTAGTTTGATGCAATCTCATTTGTCTGTTTTGCTTTTGTTATCTGTACTTTTGAGGTCATATCCAAAAATTGATTGCCTAGACCAATGTCAAGAAGATTTTTCCCTATGTTTTCTTCTAGTAGTTTTACAGTTTCAATCCTTACATGTAAGTCTTTAATTATTTTAGTTGATTTTTGTATAGGAGTGAGATAAGGGTCCAATTTTATTCTTCTGCATGTGGATAATCATTTTTCCCAATATCATTTATTGAAGAGATTGTCCTTTCCCAGTTTTGTGTTCTTAGCACCTTTGCCAAAGGTCAATTGACCATAAATGCATGGATTTATTTCTGGGGTCTCTATTCTGTTCCATTGGTCTGTATGTCTGTTTTTATGTATAACCATGCTATTTTGGTCACTTTTAATTTGTAGTCTATTTTGAAATCAGGTAGTGTGATGCTCTCAGCTTTGCTCTTTTTGCTCAAGATTACTTTGGCTATGGTGGTCTTTTTTGGTTCCATATGAATTTTGGGATTGTTTGTTCGATTTCTGTGAAAAATGCCATTGGAATTTTGATAGGGATTGCATTGAATCTGTAGATCACTTTGGGTATTATGGACATTTTGACAATTTTAATTCTTCCAATCTGTGAACACAGGATATATTTTCATTTAGTTTTGCTTCTTCAATTTCTTTCTTCAACGTCATATGGTTTTCAGTGTACAGATCTTTCACCTCCTTGGTTAAATTTGTTCCTAAGTATTTTTGTGATGCTGCTGTAATGGGATTATTTTCTTAATTTCTTTTTCAGATGGTTCATTATTAATGTATAGAAACGCAACTGATTTTTGTATGCTAATTCTGTCTACTTCAACTTCACTGAGTTTATTTTCTAACAGTTTTTTGGTAGAGTCTTTAGGGTTTTCTATATATAAGATCATGTCATCTATGCCACAACTAGAAGGACCTGCAACTAAGATATACAACTATGTACCAGTGGGGATTTGGGGAGATAAAGCAGGAAAAAAAAAAGATTGGCCACAGTTGTTAGCTCAGGTGCCAATCTTTAAAAAAAAAACGAAAAAGATCATGTCATCTGCAAACGGATCTAATTTTACTTCTTCCTTTCCAATTTGGATGAGTTTTATTTCTTTTTCTCGCATAACTGATCTGGCTAGGACTTCCAGTACTATATTGAATAGAAGTGGTGAGAGTGGGCATCCTGTCTTATTACTGATCTTAGAAGAAAGGCTTTCATTTTTTCATTGTTGAGTATATTGTTAGCTGAGGGCATGTCATATATGGCATGCTGTATTTCCATTCTTTTGGTTTCAAGACATTTCTTTTATTTCCCTTTTGATTTCTTCTTTAACCCATTGGTTATTCAGGAGTGTGTTATTTAATTTCCCCATATTTATGAATTTTCAAATATTTCACCTGTTATTGATTTCTAGTTTTATAGCATTGTGGTCAGAAAAGATACTTGGTATGATTTTAGTCTTCTTAAATTTGCTAAGACTTGTTTTGTGACCTATCATGTGATTTCTCCTGAAAAATTGTCTATGTGCAATTAAGAAGAATGTGCTGCAATTGGATGGAATTTTATGTATATGTCTGTTAGGTCCATTTGGTCTATAGTGTTGTTCAAATTTGCTGTTTCCTTATTGATTTTCAGGTTGGATAATATATCTGTTGTTGAAAGTGGGGTATTGAAATCCCCTCCTATTATTGTTTTACTGTCTATTTCTCCCTTCAGTTCTGTTAAAATTTGCTTTATAAATTTAGGTGCTCTGATGTTGGGGAGATATATATATATTTACAATCATTATATCCTCTTGATGAATTGACCCATTTATCATTGTATAGAGGCCTTCTTTGTCTTCATTTCCCCCAAAAACATCCAACCTTGGGCAAGTATTATTTACTTTCTATCTCTATAGATTTGCCTATACTGGACATTTAACATAAGTGAAAATATACAAAATATGGCTTTTTGTGTCTAGCTTCTTTCCCTTGGTGTACTTTTCAAGCTTCATCCATCATTGTAGAATGTATCAGTACTTTATTCTTTTTTATGCCAAATTATATTCCATTGCATGGGTTTACCACATTTTAGTTATCTATTCATCAGTTGATAAACATTTGGGTTAAGGAGTGACATCAGCATCATGGCAGAGTGAGTTGTTCCATTTGTCTCTCCCCTCTAAGTTACAATTAAACAGACATTCATTAACCAACAGAGGATTCCCTATGCAGCACCACAGGATGCCTGAGAGATCCACACAGCCATAAATCTGCAGGTGGGCGGACTGGATCCCCAGGAAGCAGTGGAACTAGGTGAGTGGACCCCGCCCCCTCCCCAGAGGCAATGATTCAGGTTAAGGATCCTCACACAGCAGTGGCATGACAGTAAGTGGAGTTGGGGGCCTGGCCCATGTGCAAATGCTTTCAGAGTGGTAGCCTGGCCCTCAGGACTGCCCACCATGCTGTGGCAGCCCTACCTACAGGAAGGTTCCCCACTGAGTAGTGGTAGCTCAGCCCCCATGAAGGCACCCTGCCCACCAAGTGCAGCAGCTCAGCTGAACTGCCCATGACAACAGTGTCAGCCCATGTGAAAAAAAGTGCCCCTCCCACCTAGCACCGCAGCTCAGTTGGTCTCCTGCTGAGCATGGTAGCCCTGCTAATATGAGGGCAACCAGCCTGCCAAGCACAGAGGCCCTGCTTGTGCATGTGTGACCCTCTGAGTAGCTGCAGCCAGCCCATACAAATGCAGAACAGCCCTACTGACACAACTGCCAGCAGATAGGGCAGGATCAGAAAACATAGCTCCTGCTCCCTCCCCCCACCCCACCCACCAGTGGCAGGTGGGATCTGTGACCTGAAACTAGCACAAATATGCTGGCAAAGGATCAATCCACCAAAAACAATGAGAGCTACAGTAGCACTGCAGGGCAGAAGGAAAATGACAAGCCTCCAGAAACCAATCCTGAAGTCTACAGAAATTTACAATCTAAATGACAGAGAACTCAAAATAGTTGTCATAAAGAAACTCAATGAGTTACAAGAAAACTCAGAAAGACAGTTCAATGAGCTCAGGAATAAAATTAATGAGCAGAAATAGTCTTTCATCAAAGATTGAAGCCCTTAAAAAAACTATACAGAAATTCTGGATATGAAGAACACAATTGAGATAAAAATAATCTAGAAACCATAAAAAAATAAAGCAGACCTTGTAGAGGAGAGAATTAGTGACCTAGAAGATAGAAATCAAGAAATGATTCAGGTGGAGGAGGAAAGAGAACTAAAATTTTTAAAAAGTAAAGAAATTCTTCCAAAAATATCCAAATCAATTAGGAAAAGCAACATAAGGATTATAGTATTTGAGAGGGAGCAGGGAGGGGGAAAGGAGCAGAGAGTTTCTTCAAATAAATAATACCAGAGAACTTCCCAAACCCGGGGAAGGAACTGAACTTGTAAGTACATGAAGCCAATAAAACTCCTAAGTACATCAATGCAAAAAGAACTTCTCCAAAGCATATAATATTAAGACTGTCAAAAGTCAAAGACAAGGAAAAAAATATTTAGGGCAGCAAGGAAGAAGAAAATAACCTACAAAGGAATCCCTATCAGGCTTTCAGCAGATTTCTCAGCAGAAACCTTATAGGCAAGGAGAGAATGGAATGATATATTC